CATGTCTGATCTCATATGTTGTCTACCTCTTCCATTAGAGTTTTTACTATATTAATCATGTTTTAAATTTACTGTCTTGTGGTTCCAGAATTTATGTCATACATGGGTCCAGCTCTGATAATTGCTTTGTCCCTTTGGGCTGTGTTTTTATTACTGCCTTTGCCATGCTTCATAATTTTTGTTTAAAGCTGAATGTGCTGTATATGACAGGAGATACTGAGGTATATACTTGATATGCTTGTAGAAGACTGCTAGTTTCCTGCAAGTCCTTTAGGGTGGAGATTTGTGTTAATCTGTTCAGGCATTGGTCTGTGTTTGATGTTTATTTTTGCTATGGTTACTGGAGTTGACATTTGTTGTTGCCATGGGAACGAGAGGCTTCAAATTTTCCCAGTAATACCTTGTTCTTGTCTTCCTGCTTGGCTTTGGGTTTTCCCTTTGTGCTGTTTCTCCATGAGAGTCTGAGTCTTGCAGCTCTCTCAGGTGTATTCCATTGTTTTTACTCAAAGCCTGTCAGTATGGTAGTGGAGGGTGAGGGGAGTTCTGTGATGTTCTGGTTAAGCCTTATATTTATGCAGATAGTAGAACCTGGGTCTAGGGGGTGTGGCCTTCACAAGACTATTCCCTTCTTTTTCCCAACTGCTATGGGTATTCAATAGTATCCTCAAGCTGAGGTTTTTTTCAGCTCCTTCCCGCTGCATTAGGGCTATTGCTGTTTTAGAGAAACAGTGAAGATGGATAGGGGTGAAAATTGGGTGTCAGCCTCCTTTCCTTCCTCCAGCTGTAGTGGGATTCCACCAGAAATTGCTCTTTACTGATTAAGCCTTTTGTTCCACAGGGAGATAAGGGAAATAGACTGGTTTAGCATTGTTGCTTGCTCTTCCCTCCTTAGTTCCACGGGGGTGGAGATGGAGGAGCTTTCTCTACTTTCTCCCTGCTTCCCCCTGCATTAGAGAGCCTTTTGAGGTTCCTGGAGGAAAAGCCACAAGAGGATGGGAACTATCCTATGATTGCAGCCCTCGAGGACTTCACACTCTGATTCTAACCTACATTCAGTCTTCAGAGTTCGTCAGAATGTTTGGTTTAATCTTCCTATCTGCACTGGGATTCTTCCATGCTCTTGGGACTGTTTCCTTTGGTCAGAGACGAGGCTTTTAGGTGCCTGTCTAGCCTTAGCTGTTGCTCCATCACTGTTGTTTTGCCTAGAGGCTGGGATAGAGGTAAACAAAAAAGAAAAGGAGGAAAAAGTTATTTCCTCCCAGCTCTTTTTGAACCCTAGGAGTACACATTGTGGTCAGAGAATATACTGTGTATCATTTAAGTTTTTTTAAATTTGTGAGACTTGCCTTAGGGCTCAACGTATGGTCAATTTTTGTAAATGATTTCTTTCTGCTTGAAAGAGTATCTATTTTGTAATTATTGAGTGCTGTGTCATATTAATATCTATTTAGATCCAGTTTGTTCATGCTATTCAAATCTATATTTCTACCCTCTCCCTTTATTTGAGTCATTTGTTCTATCACCTACTGAGAAGAATACAAAATTTATTATGATTATGGACTTTTCCTCCCATTTCTTTTTATAATTCTGCTAAGTTTTGCTTTATATATTTGGAAGCTATGTTATTTACATGCATACAAATTTAAAATTTTGCATCTTCCTGATAAATTATACCTTTGTAGGTATTAATGCTTTTGGGCATTTAGTCTACTTTGAATACAATTAATACAGCTAGAGCAGCTGCATTTCAGTTTGTTAGTATGACTTTTTCCCATACTTTCAACTATTTTCTGTAATTTTAAGTGTAATTCTTGATTAATTTAAAAAAATATTAATTTTTGTCTTCTAGTCCAGTTGCATTTAATGTAATTACTGAGTTATTTGAATTTACATTTGACATCTTACATTTTGCTTCTTACATGTTTTATTTGTTCTATAATCTTGTTTTCTCTTCTTTTTTGGATTTGAGTATTTTAATTATTTCTGCCTTCTATTTAGTGTGTTTGTTCTCCCTCCGGAGTAACATTAGTTACCAGTTACCTGTCCACCATTCCAGAATGAAATAGTCTGTGCATATACAGTATGTACTCACTCCTTTAAAAGTAGTAGCATGATATATACATGGTTCTGCACTTTAGATTTTTTTAAATAAATAGACTTAAAAAACATACTGCAGTTTGCTTGCTGTTTTTACACTCTTGGACAGTACAGGAACCTTGGAACCCTGTGACTCCAAGTATGTGCTCTGATTTTGTATTTTTATTCTTTATACAATTGAAACCTCATCACACGTTATTATTGCTTTAATAATTCAATGTTGTTTGATATCTCTTTCTGGATTCTAAAACAGAGTATCTGTCTCCTTGGTGATGGGTTGCTGGGTGGGGCTGGTTCAGCTAGATAATTATTTAGGAAAAACTAAGAATATGCTAACAGATGGAAAAAGCCTCTGTCATTAAAAAAAAAAAAAAATATATATATATATATATGAATGAGAGAAACCGTGACTGATTTTTAAAAATTATGTTTGAAAAAGAAAAACTTATTGACAGCATGAAAACACAGCCATGAATAGGAAACAGTGGTCATAATAAGATCTTCACTAAGGACCTTAGGAAAAAGGATTTCAAGAGGATCAAAGGAGAGAGAGAGAAGCTTTCTTGGGTAGTTAAAACATTTCCATTTTATTGTGGCATAAATGAGGTGCAAAAGAAAGGAAAACTGAAATTTCATAGTTGTAACATCTTCGGCCAGGGTGGTGAGAGAGTAGAGAAATATTTAAGCAGGTCTAAAGGAATAAGGGACATCTTACCAAGGCTGGTTGCAAGGAAATAGCTCTCACACAGTCTAGAGGGAGCCCATAGGGTTTGCTAAAAGGCAACAAATTTCTTTGGAGCTAAATGAAGTATGGATGACATTTTATTGTTGTTGAAATAAGATGCAGGAGGATGAATTGTACTTTTAAGTAATACATTTCCAGCTGAGAACTATAAATACTCGTTTTATCAGATGCTTTTTTAGCATCTCTTACAGTGGTATGAGGAATTCCTGTTGACTCTTCAGTACTTTGTGTGCTCATTCCTTTCCATTTACTTTTTTATGACCCCTTCCCAGCCATACCAATGGGCTCAGCTCTTCCTTGTCATCTTTTTCTAAATTATTAAAGTTCCTTACCTAATTTCTCTGATTATCATCTTTTCCTCCTCTCATGCATCTTACATGATTGTTAGGCCTAAAACATATCTTATATCCTGGAAATTCTATAGTGGCTCTTTGTTTTCTGTTAAATCAAGTCAAAATTTTAGTCAGTAGACCTGTTTTGGCCTTAGGTTTTTCAACTGTAAATTGGTTGGTTTCAACAACCCCCTTATCTTGTGGGTTGTTGTGAGGATTAGAGATGATATTCACCTGAGTGCAGTTTAATGCAATTTAATATAAATACTCAATAATTACCTAACATTTGAAGCCCTCTTTAACTTCCCAGGCTTACCCATTTAATCTTATTTCCCCTATTCAGAAATTTGTATCCACCAGTATGGTCTATCTGACCTCTTTACAGTATGCCCAAACATACTGTGTTTACTGTCTGCTGGCTGAAGGTGTTGGCCCACATCTTTCTGCTTATTCATCCATCTTCTCATCCTTCAGAGCTCAGTAAAAGCTGCTGCTTTTTTCATCAAACTTTCCCAAACAAATCCAATTCTAACTGATCTTCCTGACTTCTAATGGTAATTGCAGTCTTTCTTACACACTTCACCACTTGTGTAGTTTTGTGCTGTTTTCTGTATATTTCCTGTATGGATGTTTTATTTTCTGTCCTAGATTGTGAATTCCTGAAGGCAAGGTCATATGCTTTATTTGGTCTGTGTAATGCTAGGTACATGGCAGATGTCTCAAAAATACTTGTCTAATTAAGTTGCTTCTCTGGTAATACCTGTCAGAAGCAAGTTTTCCAGGAAAAATTTAATTTAGTGCTTCCAATTCTTTGTTTTACATGGTGGCTCTGGTTCGTAATTTAAAAAATTTAATGAATACTGAAGGTTAGCTAAAAAGTAAAAATAAATAGAAATAATAAAAACCTTTTTTTTTGGTAGAGACATGGGGTCTTGCTGTGTTGCCCAAGCTGGTCTTTGAACTCTTGGCCTCAAATGAGCCTTCTTGCCTTGTCCTCTCAAAGTGCTGGGATTACAGGTGTAAGTCACTCTGCATTGCCAAGGTGTGTTTTTTTGTTGTTGTTGTTGTTTTAAAATTGAGACAGGGTCTTGCTTTTCCTCCCAGGCTAGAGGGCAATGGTGCAACCATAGCTCACTGTAACCTCCAGTTCCTGGGCTCAAGACGTCCTTTTGCCTCAATCTCCCAAGTAGCTGGGACAGGTGTGCACTATCACACCTGGCTAATCTTTAAAAATTGTTTTAGAGGTGGGGTGCCACTGTTACCCAGGCTGATCTCGAATTCCTGGGCTCAGATGATCTTCCTGCCTCGAAGTGCTGGGATTACAGGCATGAACCATTATGCCTGGCCTAAGATAGGATTTTTAGAATTGCCTTTGAATAGAGAATGGCAGATGCAGAATAGGAAACTACTTGAAAAAAAATTTACTTATAAAATTGTGGTGTTTTCATGTACCTGTTTTATATTTCATGTTACTTTAAGATTAGAATTAATGGAATATCCATTCCTTATTCAGTATGATAGTGTTAAAATATTTATTGCTTCTTAAAATATTTGCCACTTTAAGTGCTAAGTTAATATTTTTTCCAGAATACTTTCTTTCTTGATTATGATTATTTTTGATTATACTTTCAAAAAATGAGAAAATACTGGAAAGTACTAGAAAAAAACAAACCCTACTTCTACCAGTGAGAGATGAGCTATTGCATTTTGCTACCAGCTATTAACATTTTGTTGGATATACTTTCAGTTGTTTACTGCGTATCTATAAAAGGTAAGTTTCCCCATCTAAGTTTCTGACCTTGTAATTCTTAATGTTTGCTTTTCAGCTTTTCCTAAAAGGATTGTACACCTTAGAAGTGCTTGAGGAGGAGTGATGAAGGCAAGTATCCAACTCTTTGTAGTCAGTGAAATTTAACTTGGTTCATGTCCAGACCAAAAAGCTTTGGTCACCATATTTATCAAAAAACTAAAAAATTAGAAAGAAAAACTTAAGGGAAAAAAAGACAAGGCAATTTGCATATAATTTGCTATGATTTTGTGGAGCACACTCCTAAATGGTTGATGGATTTTAAAAACGTAATTTTTTCACTTATTTCTGATACTAATTTAGAACCACTTGTTTTCTGAGCGTGAGCGAATGGCGTATTAGGTCTTCAGTAAAATTGTGCTAGAAAAGTTAATTGTTGAAAATTCTGAGAACTTAACAAAATTATTTGAAATGCCTGGCTGGTAGGTGGCTGCGTTTTTTGTCCCCCTTTCTCACCTTTTGCTCCTTCGACCTCTCCTCTTTCACTCCTTCGACCTCTCCCCTTTGTCCTGTGTCCTTTTGCTCCTTTTTCTCTTTCTCCCTCTGGTTTACTTATAATAACTTTACTTTTCAGAGAAGCTGAGTGAATAAAAGAGAAGCCAGCATTTCCTTCTTACCAAAAAGCATTTGATAGGCTTATGCAGTTAAACTTGTTTGTGTTAAACCGGAAATCTAAAAATTAGTTAATTGGGCAGGGCGCGGTGGCTCATGCTTATAATCCTAGCACTTTGGGAGGCTGAGAAGGGTGGATCACTTGAGGTCAGGAGTTCGAGACCAGCCTGGTCAACATGGCGAAACACCGTGTTTTTACTAAAAATACAAAAATTAGCCGGGTGTGGTGGTGGGTGCCTGTAATCCCAGCTACTTGAGAGGCAGAGGCAGGAGAATTGCTTGAACCCAGGAGGCAGAGGTTGCAGTGAGCTGAGATTGTGCCACTGCACTCCAGCCTGGGTGGCAGGGGGAGACCCTGTCTCTAAATAAATAAATAAATAAATAGTTAATTGGGAAATTTTATAAACTGTTCAACAGTTACTATTCATATTCATTTGAGCCTCTGTAAGACATACAGAAGAAAAGAAGGGTGTCCCTATACAACTTTGAGATTATTGAATTTCTTTTGTGCTTGCATTCTGTCAGCAGTTTTATAGAGTTAATTATTGCAACATCACTATTGGTATTTTTGCCACAGCATTTGACCTTGGTAGCCTTAAAGATTTTCTATTGGCCTACAGAAAATTTTAGCAGCCTTCAAAACCTTAACTAGTTTCTTAGTGCTGCTATTACGCAGATGATAGCTACAAGTGTAAGTACCATATTACATTTTATAATCAGTACAGTAGATTGTTTTTCAAAATTCTTGCCTTAAAACTTGATGTTTAAAGCTCAATTTAGGTTTCTTTAGGGCTGCTTGCTAAGTGAGGCTATGTGCTGGTATGATTAAGGTAAGTTTTGCCTTTGAAAAATCCCAGAATTTATTACTATTTTGTTGCTTATTCTTTGTAGCTGTGAAGATAGTCTTGGCATGGAAATTAACACCTTACTCTCAGCTTTTCCCAGGAAATGCTAACATTTCCTCGTAATCAATCATCATTTTGAATTATTTGAAAATAAATGATTTGGCCGGGTGCAGTGGCTCATACCTGCAATCTCAGCCCTTTGGGAGGCTAAGGTGGTTGGATCACTTGAGGTCAGGAATTTGAGACCAGCCTGGCCAACATGGTGAAACCCTATCTCTCTAAAAATACAAAAATTAGCCATGTATGGTGGCACGCACCTGCAATCCCAGCTACTCTGGAGGCTGAGGCAGGAGAATTGCCTGAACCCAGGAGGCAGAGGCTGTAGTGAGCCGAGATTGTGCCACTGCACTCCAGTCTGGGTGACAGAGCAAGACTCTGTCTCAAAAAAACAAAAACAAAAAAAAAATTGTTTTATAAATGCTTGTAAAATCTCAAATGAATTTACTGACATTCAAAATGTACCACATTCTCTATTTTTTAAAGCAGCAACCAGTTGGCCAGTTGATTAGTTTATAATAGTGCCCAAATAAGTAGATTTGCTGAGTAATAAATTCCTAGTACCTGTGCATATGAGACAAGTAGAATGATCCTCAACCTTGACATCATTCCTTTATTCTTGCTGTCTTTTAATCTCATGGGATAAACATATTTTATACATTTTACTTCAAACAACAACAACAAAGGTCAGTTATATTAGCTAATGTGCAAATAGAGGAAAAAGTAAACTACTTTTTCAGTACTGTTCTGCTGCTTTCACACCCTCCCATCTTCTCAGGATCTAAATAGCCCAGTGCAAGAAGAGACGAGTTGATATACACTGATAGGGGATTATTTTGGTTACATTAGCCCTTTTCCTCTGAGGAACTCTATTCTTTGCAGATTAGAAATAAAATTCAGTAACTATTAGCCAGCCAGCCAAACTCATGAGGAATGATGAAATAATTACTATTATTTTAAAAAATCAGAGTAACATCGTATTATATGTTTATTTCATATTTGTTTAGAAGGGGATAATTAAATATATACACTATTGGCAAAATTTTTGCCCACAAGGAGCCCCAGAAAACTGCACCAGAGGCTAAGACAGTCATTGATCTAATAAGGGCAAGGGTTTCTTTCTTGACTCTCCCAAAGGGATAGAGATGAACAAAAGCAATGCACAATCAGGAAAAGGGTAACAGGCCACAGTGGGATGGCTAGATTTCAGTAGAGCCACAAAGAATTTGGGTGAAAGGCAATGAAACTTCCATTCTCATGGTTGTTACTCATTTGCCTAATTTAGGAACAAACAATTTTGTGGCATTTAGAAAGTAGGAAGGTACTAGAGAGAGACAAATATCTTTATCCGTGTCTCCCTGTTTATGCTCCTCAGTTATGAAGAGGTTAGGCGATGGAATCATGGGCATGAAAGAATATGGACAGTGGAGCCACAGTGACAGTGCCCATATAATACTTGAAGAAAGTCTTCTGAGAGTAGTCATCAGGAAGAAAACTTTAGTGAGTTTGCATTCCTGTTCCGCTAAACTCTAGTAGCCTTGAGTTCACAGGGAACTCTTTTTATCCAGCTAATTTATGGCTCCCTAGATTGCCACTTGGTGGCAGCAGGTCCACATATTCCCAGAACAGGAGCACCATGGTGCTTCATTGGTAGTGGCTTAAATTGTTGAAAGTAGTTGGTAGTGTAGGTAGTTTAAAGTCCTTTAAACAAAAAGTTGAAGAAAAATATGGAAATAACCTCCTACATCATATTTTGCATTCTCTAGCAGCTTGTGTGCATGTATATAATTTGTTTTATATATTTGCACAAATGCAGAACAAAAATAAACACTTTCTATTAGGAAAAATCTCATCATCTCCCATCCCCCCTCCTTTTTTATTTTGCATGTGATTTTAGTAACCATGGCAGTTGCGTTGATTTTACATCTTAGTTTCAGCTTCCTTTTAATTTCTTGCATTTAATACTGGTATATGGTTGCTGTTTGACCTTTCTTTTTCTCTACTTTTCTCTCATACCCAGTTACTTTGCTTTTGAGTTTGTATGGATATATGGGAAGCTTCTGTCAGGGATGACACTATAGAGAAAGGGATTTCTTTGAATCTCCTTTCTTGATAGCTGATACTGAGCAAAGCTCTAGTCTCTGATTCTGATTCTGTCTGAACCATTCACTCATATGGTGCCAGAAAGGTCATTTGTGCTTCAGCAGAGAATTCAACTTACAGGATTTTAATTTCCATTCTCTTCTCAAAAGAGCAAACCTGTCATCTCTAGTTACCAGTGAACTTGATGAATATGAATGGTAACACAGACTCTGTTTTCCATTAAAATCCACATATAGTTAGGTTGGGATATCCACTTCTCACTGTTGTTCTTTGACTATACTGAGTTTCAGCCTGTGAATAATTAACTGGTTATGAATGAGAGAGATTAAATTGCCTCAGCTAGAGTAAACCTGTTTGATGGTCTGTTCTCTTGATTTCCCAAGCAATGGCTGTTATGTCAACTACCATTATAGTGTCCATTCCAAGATATGGCTCCTCTAAATATCTAATTCTGTATATATTGAATCTTGTAGGGATTTTTGTTTTTGAACATTGCTATTTTAATTTCCTATGTACTTGTTCTGGACTTTTTCTCTCATTCTAAAAAATAATCATTACCCACTATCTAGAAAACTGTCTTTTAATCTTCTGATTAAAGATTGCTTAATGATAGTGCCTATTTGTTTGGCCAGTAGCATGCTTTTCTTTGTTTAACACTGGAGTTTCTGCATGGATTTATAATATAAGTTTTTTTTTTTTTTTTTTTTTTAATATTAGATAGGCATGAAGCCTTCGTCTCACAGCTGCATGCGTAGTCACTGTTGAAGCAAATGCCTACCTAATTTGACACTCTTGGTGTGTTTAAAAAATTTTTTTGAGTTTGCAAATAAGCATATTAAGTCTACTGATGGAGCCTTCGGGCAGTGAACAGTTATTTGAGGACCCTGATCCTGGAGGCAAATCCCAAGATGCAGAGGCCAGAAAGCAGACAGAATCAGAACAGAAATTGTCTAAAATGACCCACAATGCTTTGGAGAACATTAACGTGATTGGCCAAGGCTTGAAGCATCTCTTCCAGCACCAGCGCAGGAGGTCATCAGTGTCTCCACATGATGTGCAGCAAATTCAGGCAGATCCAGAACCTGAAATGGATCTGGAAAACCAGAACGCATGTGCTGAGATTGATGGTGTCCCCACCCACCCCACAGCTCTGAATCGTGTCCTGCAGCAGATTCGAGTGCCACCCAAGATGAAGAGAGGGACAAGCTTGCATAGTAGGCGGGGCAAGCCAGAGGCCCCAAAGGGAAGTCCCCAAATCAACAGGAAGTCTGGTCAGGAGATGACAACTGTTATGCAGTCAGGCCGACCCAGGTCTTCATCCACAACTGATGCCCCTACCAGCTCTGCTATGATGGAAATAGCTTGTGCTGCTGCTGCTGCTGCTGCTGCATGTCTACCGGGAGAGGAGGGAACTGCGGAGCGGGTAAGTTTGTTAGATTTTGTTTTTCTGTTAACTTATTGTTTTTTCGTACCTAGGACTCTCCAGACTTTCCTTTGGTAACTAAAAAGATATCTCAGCAAATACCTTAAAGTTGTGGTAAAAGCATTTTTTTCCCATTTCAAATGGGCAAACAATAATTATAGCTAATGAATGAATGCTTAGAATTATATTCCTATTTCCTTCCTAACATATTGCTGTATTTTATCCTTTCGTTAAGTATATTTCATGTATTCTTGCTGTATATTTATTTAAGAGGGTCAGTTTTATGGTGGAGGAATAAAGATGCTTTGTTTCTTATTGTTTTGATTTTGCACATGGAAATGGCTTTCTTACATTAATGAATGTAGTGAATAAAGTTCTAGAATCTGAGTTTGTCTATGCTTACCATGGAAGTACACTAAGTTGGTTATAATTTTCATATACTTTGTAGTACATCAACAGCATTCATTATACATTTTGTATGCCACAGTAGAGCATATACATTATTATAGTGTACTATTAATAAAGAGATTGTTTTGGGTTTACCCAAAACCAGGCATATTAAATCTAGGAGAAACTTTTTCCGTATAACTCTCAGTTATGGTTAGTTGAGGCACATAGAATAAATAGTCCTGCTAGGGTTTGAAAACTCAGGTAAACGTAGCCATGCAGGTAGTGACAACGAGTGAACTTCAGTGTTATGGAGCCTGGACAAACTGAGGAGTTCCTGATTTAGGAAATCTGGAGTAGCCAGATTTAGGAAAAGCAGTGTATATTAGGCTGCAATGAGGGGAGCTTTTTGGATCACTTATAGTAAGGGCAGAAGGAAAGGGAAATTTTTGTAATGCGTGGCTGTACCTGGAAGATAGAGAAAAGTGGAAGAAGTTTGAGGGAGATGTATGTGTTCAAATAAAAAGATTTCTAAGTTTGAATTAGTTGAACTTATTATAAGCAACACTGGTAAGGCAGGTGTACTCTTCTCCCAGTGGGGAAGAACTGAAGCAGGGAAAAGGATAATTCCTGTTGTTTACCACCAGGTGGTGCCCTCGGCGAGGATTGGTAGGTGGAAGTGAGGGGATGGATGCCTGACAGGACATTGATTAACCCAGGGTGAAAATTTAATTAGTACAGGAAGTCATTAGGATATGGGCTAACTTGAGCACAGTGACTATTAAATAGTGCTGGTGCTCTTATAAATATTGAGCTGAATTGATAATTGTGGAAGTGGAATGGACAATAGAAGAACAGGTAGGATTTGATAACAATGTTAGAATAAAAAATTTTAAAATCTGAAGTTTGCTTGGGAGAATCAGAAGATACTGTCCATTTCCACTAAACAGTTGAAAAATTGTATTTTTTAAAGAAAACCATTTAGTTTCAGTTGGGTGGCTGACACCTACTATCAAGAGAATGTCTTATATAATAATAATTATAGAAGACATTAATGTATTTCCAGTTCCTTTAATAATATAGAACTGGAAAAGTGGGCATAAGTTAGAGATGAAGATGTATTTTGGCTTTCTAATTGTTCTCCCTTAAAGATGCTTTACATAGCAAAACTTGATTGCCAAAGCAAGTAACTTACAGGTTTGTTGACCCTACTTCTGAAGGCCAGAATGTTTATGGCTACGTCCTTTCCCCCAATACTGAGTTTCCTTTAATATAAATATGTATTCATTGGCCTCAAAGATATTTTTATTATCCTTAATGATCTCATGTGGGCATCAAATACAGTTCTTGTAAGAGTAAAAGTGAAGGTACAGATAAGCTAAGTGTTCCCAACCTTGGTAAATTTTTTATGCAAAGTGTAATATCATAGGGATGCTTCTTAAAGTTTGTTTTTGTTTGTTTGGTTGGTTGGGTTTTTTTTTTTTTTTTTTTTGACACAGAGTCGTGCTCTGTCACCCAGGCTGGAGGGCAGTGGCATGATCTCTGCTCACTGCAACCTCCACCTCCCAGGTTCAAGTGATCCACCTTCCTCAGCCTCCCAAAGTGCTGGGATTACAGGCATGAGCCACCGCGCCCAGCCAAATTGTTTGTTTGTTTTTTTAAGTCTGAGTTACTTTCTTTCTGTTCAGAGCCCTTTATGATGAAGGCTCCACATAATGGAGAGCAGAGTTCGCTCTTTAACCTCTTTTTCTTTATACAACAAGATGGTCACAAGCTTTAGGGTAATCAGACTCCTAAAGGCATATAGTGTGTGACCTAATTTCTGCTTTCCCCTTTTGTTCATCAGAGATTTGGGTACTTTATCAATAACTTTGAATCTTAGGAGTAGAGGAGGAGATTTTTAGTATCCAAAGTCCACTACTCTTTGGTTTATCCAGAACACTGATATAAGGTCTTGCTTCCAAAGAGTCATAGATAGATAGATAGAGGGATAGGCCAAGATTGTGTTTTGTGTAAGGTAATTACTAGAGCAGACTGTTTTTGTTTTTGTTTTTTTTTCCAGGGATCTCGGTACAGCATTTTTTCTCAAGAAAGGCAACTTTGGCAAGTTAGCACAATGTTGAGCTAAGTAGGTGTTCGTTAAAAAATCAACCTATTTTGATGTTATATTATCATAGCCTATGATCCTGTTGGTCAATGTGAGCAGGCTAGATTTTATTTTTGAACTTTTGTACTTCAGGGTCACAATTAATATACGTTATGCGTTAATATGTGTCTCTCACTTCGTATATACATCGACTTTGAGAATATGTTCCTAAACAAAATTTTAAATATATAAAATGTTATTTTTGTTTTGTTTTGTTTGAGATGGAGTTTCACTCTTGTTGCCCAGGCTGAGTGCAGTGGTATGATCTCTGCTCACTTCCACTTCCACCTCCCGGGTTCAAGCAATTCTCCTGCCTCAGCTTCCTGAGTAGCTGAGATTACAGGCACACATCACCATGCCTGGCTAATTTTTGTATTTTTAGTAGAGATGGGATTTCACCATGTTTGTCAGGCTGGTCTTGAACTCCTGACCTCAAATGATCCACCTGCCTCAGCCTCTCAAAGTGCTGGGATTAGAGGCATGAGCCACTGCACTGGCCTAAAATGTTTTATTTTAAAAATAAAAGTATGGCAAATCTTTTTATTTTGTCATAGTAACATCTTATTGGGATAAGAAACCCTGACTCAGATTTCAAAATTGTAATAATGAGGAAGCTAAGAATTCAGAAATCTTGAGTTGCAAAATGAGTCCCTTGCACCACAAATGATTTCTAGTCAGTAGATCACTGGCTGCTGCCAAGTGACTACCAGACTCATAGATTGTTAGGCCTATTAAGCTACTTTGATTAATTCTAATCAAACTCCTGATTTTACAGGTCCAGAGATATTAAAAACCTGCCTGAAGTTATACAGTTAATTATGAGTGATGCCAGGACCAGATCCCTGGGTTCCCTGTTGTTCTGTGTTCAGCATTCTTGCCTCTTTACCTGGTTGAGCAGGCCAGAGAGTTGAAGAACACCAGTTCTTTTTTTTTTTTTTTTTTGAGACGGAGTCTCGCTCTGTCGCCCAGGCTGGAGTGCAGTGGCCGGATCTCAGCTCACTGCAAGCTCTGCCTCCCGGGTTCACGCCATTCTCCTGCCTCAGCCTCCGGAGTAGCTGGGACTACAGGCACCCGCCACCTCGCCCGGCTAGTTTTTTTGTATTTTTTTAGTAGAGACGGGGTTTCACCGTGTTAGCCAGGATGGTCTCGATCTCCTGACCTCGTGATCCGCCCGTCTCGGCCTCCCAAAGTGCTGGGATTACAGGTTTGAGCCACCGCGCCCGGCCAGAACACCAGTTCTTTTAAGCAGGAAATAAGAAAAGGGGAAAGGAAAGTTTTTCCTTTTTTCAAAGATTGGTTGCTAGATCAGCTTGTTTGAATGAAGGCAGAAATCTAAGAGCAGTGACAAAGACTGATTTCATCACTACCTCTGTTTGTTTTCTTATGTTATTATGTATTTTTTTGAGTTGGGGTTGGAGTCTCGCTCTAATGCCCAGGCTAGAGTGCAGTGGTGCAATCATGGCTTGTTGCATTCTCAAACTTACGGGCTCAAGGGATTTTCCCACCTCAGCCTCTTGAGTAGCTAGGACTATAGGCACGCGCCACCATGCCTGCCTCTTATGTTACTACTTTTAAACAACTTTTGCCATCATTTCCAGATGGGTAACAATGGATATCAAATACTGAAACGATTCCCTGCAGTTATTTTAATCCTATTCATCATTAAAATATGAGCAGTGACATCCTGGATTCTAAGATGTCTAAACAAAATAATAACAAAATAGTTATTTACAGTGCCTAAAAAATAAGGCCTCATAAATATATATAAATATATGTATATTTGAGACAGAGTCTCACTCTGTCACCCAGGCTGGAGTGTAGTGGTGTGATCACAGCTAACTGCAGCCTCGACCTCCCAGGCACAAGTGACCACCCACCTCAGCCTCTTCAAGTAACTGGGACCACAGGTGGGTGCCACTGCACCCAGCTAATTTTTGTATTTTTTTGTAGAGGAGTTTTGCGGTGTTGCCCAGGCTGGTCTTGAACTCCTGGGCTCAAGTCATCCGCCCGCCTCAGCCTCCCAAAGTGCTGGGATTACAGGTGTGAGCCACTGCATTTGGCCAAGGACTCTTATATTTAGTGAGATGGCTGGTTAAATAGTCTTCATGGAGTTATTTCTGTATTGTGAGGTTGAGGGTGGGGTGGAAAATAGGGCCCATTAAAGTTTCTTATTAACGACATAAAATGTTGCAGAGTTGTAGTAAGAGTGATGATGATGAGAGCCAGCCGTCTGTTATCTTACTGCCTTAAGACACCAAGAAACCTGCCCTGGAAATGCTGAATTTTAATAAACTCATAAAATGAACTTTAATTGGAAATCTTTTCCATGTAGTTGATAGTATTCTTTGCAAGAATTTTGTTGAAGTGAATTTGTTTTGATACCATTATATCAGATCATTCTTAACAAATATTTAAGTGTCTAATGTATGTAAGACTCTTTCCATGTATACTTTGCAGTTTAATTTGCATGTGAGTGTTTTGGGGCAGGTCGATATCTTAAAAAAAAAAAAAAAGTGAAGTAATTAGTGCTTAGGGAAAAATTTAAAACCTGCCTAAGACCAGAGAGCTAGTACATGGCTGAGTCTAAGCTCTTTGCACATCTACACATCTACATCTACATCTACACATCTACAGCACAGATGCCTCAATATTGATAGCTTTTATCATGTACTTAGTGTGGGGAGTGTAATATAAAGGCAGAGAATATAGATCTTAGAATGTTACAGGCTGTCAAAAAGTTGGTAATCTGCCAAGTAATTTTCCTAAAACGCATAAGAAAAAAATTTGAACAGTTGGTCTCAGTTGAAATTGAAGCAAGATTTAAGGCTTCATAATTAACTCTTAAAGTAGAAACTTAGATGAAAGAAAAAAGTGTTTCCCACTGCTTTCCTTATGTACTATCAAAAGGCCATAATGAAATTGCTGGAAGTTACCACGTCTTACTAAGCTCCAAACAGTGCTTAAAAGTAGGAAGTGAGAGGTAATTGGCTGGTTTATCTTTGCTTCCATGCAGTCTTACTGGCCTGTAATCTGGTGGTTAATAGCATTGATTGTTTTAAATTCTGTTGTTTGTTTTTTTCCTGCCAAGTTGCTATAACCATCTGGGAAGGGTAAGATAAGAGTGCTGGAGCATTGTCCTAAGAAAGTTCCACTTTTCCTTTTGAGCCTTCTTTAACACAAATCTCAGATTGGGAGAGATTTCTACAGTCATTTCATGTATAGCTCTCTAACATTCTCCCTAAATGGTTGTCTGACCTCTCAGAATCTCCTGAAGCAGCCTATTCTACCTGTGCCTCTGTTAGACAAATCTAATATATTAAGCTGAATCTGGTACCCTATATTTCTCCAGTTAGGGCCAATCAGAGTATGTAATGCCTCTGCAGGCACGAATTGCCTTCACATTGTGTCTTTTCCTGAATAATCCCTTCTCCAGACTGATAATCCCTAGTCCTTGGGATATTATTATTTTTTTTTAATTTAACATTTTTTGATCCAGGCATTTTAAGTGTTTGGGATGCAGTAGTGAATCCTCACTACAAACAACTGTACTGTGAAGTATTACTGTCTCTATTTTTGTAAGTGAAGAAACAAGATGAAGTTGGAATGACTTACCATGTTCACACAATTGGGAAGAAGTTTGTAATGGATGTCAGAACCAAGTCTTTCTAGCTCTAGAGGTCATGCTTTTGACCACTGCTCTCTGCTACTGTAGGTCTTGCCAAGAATAATCTAGTAGCCGTTTTCAAGGCCTAAAGTAGATAGGTAAGGAGAAGGCTCATCTAAGGAATGGCATAAACACCTTCTAGGTAAGAGATTCTGAGGTTCCTTGGGGTATTAAATGAATCCCTGGGTTCCACTGGGAAACGACATCAAGTAGATTCTTAGCTGGGTTTGGTGGCACACGCCATTAAATTTGTGGTTTCAACAATTCACTAAGGACCCCAATGTCCTTCAAAAATATGGAGTGCTTCACAAGTTTTTGTGTCATCCTCTTCAGAAGCTGTTATAATCTTCTTTGTATTCCAGTTTTAGTATATGGGCTGCTGAAGCAAGCCCCAAGTTATTCATTCACATCATAATTTTGAGTACTTAGTCATACTGGTCCATCAACTCTAACTGTTCCCATTCTTCAGTATTCCCCTTAAATTCTAGTCTCCAGAACAGAACACAATGCCCAGATCTGATTACAGTAGTGAATGGACCTTTCCTAATTCTGAAGTATTATATGCTTATGTTCAACACAACTCCAGTTTGAAATTGTTTTTCCTTTTTGTGATCTGACTTACCTTTCATCTTTAATTTTTATTTGGCGAAAGTTGTAGAGTTTAATTCAGAGTAATTGAAATTTTTACAGGCAGTAAAATAATACAGATACTTAATCATTTTGAGACTGTTAGAAAAAAGACTTTTTCTAGAGAACTTAACCTCTAATTTCTAATATATTTACTTACAAGAAGGAGAACCCTTCACACCTGTAATCCCAGCACTTTGGGAGGCCGAGGCGGGCGGATCACCTGAGGTCAGGAGTTCGAGACCAGTCTGGCCAACATAGTGAAACCCTGTCTCTACTAAAAATAAAAAAATGAGCCTGGCGTGGTGGTGCGCACCTGTAATCCCAGCTACTCGGGAGGCTGAGGCAGGAGAATCACTTGAACCCAGGAGGTGGAGGTTGCAGTGAGCCGAGATCGGGCCATTGCACTCTAGCCTGGGTGACAAAAAGAAAAAAGAAAGAAAACGAATGAGAACCTTTCACATTCTACATTTTATTTCATTTCATCTTAGGCTAGTCAAGTGAACTGTTTGGCCTGGAGAAGGAACAAAGAAATCTGTAACTGGTTGTGATCAATTAGTTGTAAGCACTACTGCACTTGGACCAGCCTCAACTTCTGCCTTCTTTTAAATTGGTGTTAGAGATGAACCAAATGTCACCTACATCATTTCCCAACCCTGATACCATGTGCTTCAGCACCTAATTTTTCTCACTTTGTATTTGTAGTATTATTTATTTAATGTATAGCCATATTCTTCAGAATAATTAAGAGTTGTGGCATATTGAAGAATTCAGTCATTTATTAGCCCTTCAGATATCTTTATTTTTTAAATCAGTGCTCAGTTTGTTTTGCAAAAAGTTGTCTTTAAAACTTTTCTTTAAAAGTTTCTTTACAACTGATGTCTGCTGATCACAGAAATTTAAAGAAGTTTTGTATTTTTTTTTTTTTTTCCTTCTTAAAAAATAATTCCCAGCCAGGTGCTGGGGCTCACACCTGTGATCCCAGCCCTTTGGGATGCTGAGGTGGGCGGATCACTTGATGTTGGGAGTTCGAGACCAGCTTGCCAACATGGTGAAACCCTATCTCCACTAGCAATATAAAAAAGGCCGGGCATGGTGGCTCACGCCTGTAATGCCAGCAATTTGGGAGGCCGAGGTGGGTGGATCACCTGAGGTCAGGAGTTCGAGACCAGCCTGGCCAACATGGCGAAACCCCGTCTCTACTAAAAATACAAAAATTAATCGGGCGTGGCACATGCCTGTGGTCCCTGCTACTCCAGAGGCTAAAGCAGGAGAATTGCTTGAACTTGGGAGGCAGAGGTTGCAGTGAGCCAAGATTGCGCCACTGCACTCCAACCTGGGTGACAGAGCAAGACTCCATCTCCAAAAACAAAAAATAGCTGGGCGTGGTGGTGCATGTCTGTAATTCCAGCTCCTTGGGAGGATGAGGCATGAGAATCACTTGAACCCAGGAGGTGGAGGTTGCAGTGAGCAGAGATCTCACCACTGCACTCCAGTCTGGGTGACAGAGTGAGACTCCATCTAAAAAAAAAAAAAAAAAAATTCACAGCTTAATAGAAACTTCAGCCACTCTGAAAATCAAAATATGAAGATGTGGGATAGTCTCTAAGGGCCTAGGAGGAAGAAATTCTTGTTAGCAATTTATTTCCTTTTGGATAATAAGATAGTAAATATTCTTTTCTGTCAGATTTTTTGATTTGGTAATTTCATGATCTTAAAGTTCACAGATTTTATTAATTGATTGAGACAGGGTCTTTCTTTGTGGCCCAGGGTGGAGTGCAGTAGTGTGATCACAGCTCACTGCAGCCTTGACCTCCTGGGCTAAAGCAATCCTCCCACCTCAGCCTCACAAAATGCTAGAATTAGAGACGTGGGCCACCACACCCGGCCGACTCTTACGGGTGAAAAACAAAGATTTTTACTTTGGTCAATGACGTTGTTTTAGTTTTAAATGACAGTTGACACTGTGCCCCGGAAATGTGATTTAAATGTGCTTGCCTTTTTTTTAATTTAAATTTTATCTTTTAAAATTGATATATAATTTACATATTTTTGGGGGTACATGAGATCATTTAATACATTTATGTAACTTATAAAGATCAAATCAATGTAATTGGGATATCTGTCACCTTAAATATTTGTCTTGTCTTTTTCTTTTTTCTTTTTAGACAGGCTCTCGCTCTGTCGCCCAGGTTGGAGTGAAGTGGTGCAGTTGTAGCTCACTACCGCCTCAAATTCCTGGCCTCGTGCCTCACCCTCCCTTGTAGCTGGGACTACAGGTGTGCACCATCACACCTGGCTTATTTTTATTTTTTGTAGAAATGGGGTCTTGGTATGTTGACCAGGCTGATCTCAAACTCCTGGGCTCAAGCAATCCTCCCATCTCAGCCTCCTAAAGTGTTGGGATTACAAGCATGAGCCATTATGCCTGGCCTTGTCTTTATGCTATAAACATTTGAATTGTTATCTTCTATAATCACCCTACTGATCTATCAAACATTAGGTCTTATTTTTTCTATCAGACCCCGTTTATTTGTACCCATTAATCAACCTCTCTCCTTCTCCCTCTCCTTTACCTTTCCCAGCCTCTGGTAACCACCAGGCTACTCTTTATTTTCATGAGATCCACTATTTTTTAGCTCCCACGTATGAATGACAACATGTGATATTTATCTTGCTTGGGTTATTTCACTTACAAAATGAGCTCCATTTCCATCCATGTTGCTGCAAATGAAAGGATTTCATTCTTCTTTATGGCTTTATAATATTTCATTGTGTTTGTGTACCACATTTTCTTTATTCATTTGTCCACTGATGAGCAGTTACATTGATTCCATGTTTTGGCTATTGTGAATAGCATTTGCAAATAAACATGGCAATGCAGATGTCTGTCTGATACCTTGATTTCTTTTCTTTTGGCTATATACCCAGTAGTAGAATTCCTGGGTTATATGGTAGTTCTATTTTTAATTTTTAAAGGAACCTCCGTGAAGGTTTCCATAGTGGCTGTTCTAAGTTACATTTCTACCAACAGTATACATCCCCTTTCTCCACATCCTCCCCAGCATGTTATTCCCTGTCTTTTTGATAAAAGCCATTCTAACTGGGGTGATGTGATGCCTCATTGTGGTTTTGATTTGCATTTCTCTAATGATTAGTGATATTGAGCATTTTTTCATATACCTGTTGGCCATTTGTGTGCCATCTTTTGAGAAATGACTATTCAGATCTTTTGCCCATTATAAAATTGGATTTGTTTTGCTATTGAGTTGTTTGAGTTCCTTATGTATTCTGGTTGTTAATCCCTTGTCAGATGGATAGTTTGTAAATATTTTCTCCCATTCTGTGGGTTGTCTTTTCACTTTGTTGTTTCCTTTGCTGTGCAGAAACTTTTTAGCATGACGTAATCCCATTTGTCTGTTTTTGCTTTGGTTACCTGTGCTTTTGAGGTCTTACACTGAAAATCCTTGTCCAGACCAATGTCCTGTAGCATTTCCCCAATGATTTCTTCTAGTAGTTTCATAGTTTCCAGTCTGAGATTTAAGTCTTTAATCCATTTTGATTTGATTTTTGTATGTTCAGAGATAGGGGTGTAGTTCCATTCTTCTGCAGGTAGTTGTCCGTTTTCCCCAGCACTATTTATTAAAGAGACTATTCTTACCCCATTGTATGTTCTTGGGTTGGCTATAAATGTGTTGATTTATATCTGGGTTTTCCATTCTGTTCCACTGGTCTGTGTGTTTTTATGCCGGTACCGTGCTAGTATGTTTACTATTGCTTTATAGTATGTTTTGAAGTCAGGTAGTGTGATGCCTCCCATTTTGCTCTTTTTGCTCACAATTGCTTTGGCTATTCAATGTCTTCTGTGGTTCCATATAAATTTAAGAGTTTTTTTCTGTTGCTGTGAATGTTACTTATTTCTAGCTTTATTCCATTGTGGTCAGAAAAGTTAATATGATTTCTTTTTTTTTTTTTTTAATTGTTGAGATTTGTTTAAGATATGGTCTCTTCTGGAGAATGTTCCCTTGTGGTGATGAAACGAATGTGTATTCTGCAGCAGTTGGGTGAAATGTTCTATAAATGTCAGTTAGGTCTATTAAGTATAGTGTCTACTTTAACTTTAGTCTCTCTTCGTTGATTTTCTGTCTGGATGATCTGTCCATTACTGAGAATGAGGTGCTGACTTTCCCTACTAGTATTGTATTACAGTCTTATCAGTCTATCTCTCCCTTTAGATCTACTAATGTTTGCTTCATGTACTTGGGAGCTCTAATTTTGGGTACATAGATACTTATAATTGTTACATCGGCTTCATGAATTGACCAATTTATCTTTATATAGTGACCTACTTTGTCTCTTCCAATAGTCTTTGATTCGTAATCTAGTTTATCTGATATAAGTATAGCTACTCCTGCTCTTTTTTGTAATCCAGTTGCATAGACTATATTTTCCCCACCCCTTCACTTTCAGTGTATGTGTATCTTCATAGGAGAAGTGGATTTCTTGTAGGCAGCATATAGGTGGGTCTTATTTCTTTGTCTATTCAGCCACTTTATGCCTTTTAATTGGAGAATTGAGTCCATTTACATTCAGTGTTACTTTTGATAAGTAAGGGCTTAATACTGCCATTTTATTGCATATTCTGGTTGTTTTGTAACTCCTCTTTTCATCCCTTATTTACTATTATCTTTGTGGTTAAGTGATTTTCTCTGGTAGTATGTTTTAATTCATTGCTTTTTATTTTTAGTGAATCTGTTATAGGTTT